ATCTAATCTAATCTAATCTAATCTAATCTAATCTAATCTAATCTAATCTAATCTAATCTAATCTAATCTAATCTATTTTTGTGGCTGCCCCTCAAATACTGGAACACTACATTAAACACTCTCTTAACCAGGGGTGGGTTGATGCCGGCATTACTGCTGGCTCGGTGCATGCGTAATTTTGCGCGTGTGCAGTTGCCTATAAATCTGTGTATGTATGCGCAGAACATTAAAAAATGAAAATAAGCACATGTCATGCTGACCGGGGAACTGGTTTGGAGGCGTGGCACACCTGGGTTGCTGCTGGTTCCGGCGACTCAGGCCGGCATACCGCTACAGGTTTGGCCAAACCGATCCAAACTGGTAGGAACCCACCTCTGATCTTAACGGCATGGAAGGTTGTGTAAAACAGCCGATGGATATAGTTTAGGCAGTAGCAGGAATCCTATTTGGGTATTGTAAGTGACTATCATTAAATCCTGCAGGTGTGTTAGAATAGAAGCTATCCAGAGTTTTTATTCCTTTGCAGTCACGAAAAATAAGCTACTTCCACGCCGTACCATTTTCAGAGTGAGGGATAGACACAAATATGAGGCAATAAATGTGTCTGAGAAAATAACTATGTCAGGGGCCTCTGGTGCTTCAGAAGAAAAGCTCAGTGGGAATATCACAAAAACCCACCCAGGTTTCGTTTTAAACATCCCTCACTAAATGCTTCAGTAAGAAAAAAAAGGGCTTTTCAAAGGTGAATGCTTCTTTCCTTCATCAAATGTTTGCATTTGAATGCTTGTCCTTTTTCCAGTAATCGTCACAAGATGGATTTCCTCCTTGCTGTTACGGTTTTGATAAATGTATCCCTAGGCGGGGTGAGAATCGGCATTATTTGATAGCTTAGGATCAGGGTTGAGTTTGGTAAATACAAGTTGGCATCAACTGGAATATTTGCTGTGCCAGGTCTACGGAGAAAACATTTCTCTGCGAACTTGTTGGGTGAGCCAGACAAGAACCACAACCGGATGAGCTGAATCCCCTTTAAAGACTAGAATAGAAAAATAGAATAGAAAAATACAATAGAATAAGAATAGAATAAGAATAGAGTAGAATAGAATGTAGAAGAGAAGAGAAAAAATAGAATAGAAAAATAGAATAGAAACGATTAGAGTAGAGTAGAGTAGAGTAGAGTAGAGTAGAGTAGAATAGAATAGAATAGAATAGAATANCATTTTACACTATGATTTAAAGAAATAGATACAGCATTACTATATGATTTATATATTGCCAACCCAACCGTTAGAATTATATTCCTAACATTCTCCCCTTTGGGTAGGACAATGTATAAATCTTACAATCTTAAGCCGTATTCATCGCAACAACGTTTATGCTTTATATTACCTTGTTATCTTTAGACATACAATACTCCAGTGAAACTAATTTACTATTATATTCCTAACAATTGTTATAATAAATGGAGAAGGAAGAGGAGGAGGAGGAAGAAGAAGCAAAGGAAGAGCTTGACTCCCTCTTTGGGGCAACCCCCGAGATATCGGAACACTGCTATCGTGTCACCCCTAGTCCTTCTTTTCATTAAACTAGGCTACATGTAAACTATATGATTTCCTGCCTAAGCCAGGGATTGGACTAGAAGACCTCCAAGGTCCCTTCCAAGACTTGTTATTCTGTTTTCTGATGTGGGTGATGGCGGGTGTACCGGTAGTCCTTGACCTTAAGGCCCTCATTGGGGCCCGAACGAACATGGCTAATCGAGGCGATGATGGCGCAATTGACCCTTCACCTGGTTTCTTCTTGTTTTCCTAGCTTTCTCCACCGGCACGATGAAGCTTTCTCCACTGAGCCTCTGAAAAATAACGGCCGAGGGACCCCGCTTGGATTTTATCATGTCCAAAACGTAAGTGATGAGGTGATCTTCTTGGAGGGATTCTTGGTGGCTTCTCAGAGATCAGAATCACCTGTAAATGAAGTAGAAAACCTTTCTATTTCCAGATAGGTGTTCTGACCCCAGGCTTCCTTAAAAAGCAAGAAGCAGAGTCTTGGTCCCGGCAAACCCCCTTTTATTTACACGACTGTGATTTCCTTTCATTCACAGTCAGCAAGGCTTAGCAAACAGTCTTTCAGAGGAATGTTTATCCACACGCACCTTATCTTGCTTGGCGAGTTGCCAGATAACTAGTTTCCAAACGCAGAGCAAGGAAGCCCTTGGCACAGAGTCTCTTTAGTCACAAACAGAACTTTCTACTCTTGAAACGACCAAAGGAACGGATTGTTTCCTGCAAAAGCCCCCCTCCCCATTCGCTCCTCTTTTGTTTCCTATGGGAGGGACCAATCACCTCCAAGGTGTGGCTTTACTCCCAAGTCGACCCTGCTTTTTTAGTCGTTCTTGTCTTGTCTGGCAGCTCTGCGCATGCGCACACTGGGAACAGGCTCCAGCTGTTCCTCTGCCTCACTGCTGTCTCCTCTTGACAGATTTCCGTGGAAGTGACCGAGTCCTTTGTCGAATACATCAAGACCAAACCCATTGTCTTTGAGGTCTTTGGACACTATCAGCTCCACCCACTCCACCTGCAGGGACAGGAACTCAACAGGTACCTGGATAACAAGATAGGTAGTCCTCAACTTACAACAGGAGAATATGGGTTACTTTTCTCCCATCTTTGTAGGGTTGAGAAAAACCAAGCCTAGAAATTCAGAATCCCTTTTGTCTTGAGTCTAGCACTCCTCTCTTTTCCTTTCTAGGAATGGTATGGATTGCTGTCACTTTAGCAGGTCACAAAATGTCCTACAGATAGTCCTCGACTTACAACAGTTCATTTAGTAACCGCTCAAAGTTAAGACGGTGCTGAAAAATGTGACTTATGCCATTTTTCAGTTATTGCAGCATCCCCGTGATCAGGTGATCAAAATTCAGACGCTTGTCCACTGGTTCATATTTATGATGGTTGCAGTGACCCAGTGGTGGGTTCCTACCAGTTCGGCCAAATTGGTAGTGGTTTGGGGGCCTGGGTCACTGGAACCGGCTGTGACCCAGGCCTGCCATGCCCCTGAACCTGTTCTCTAAGCGGCGCCATAAGCAGCGCCATCAGCAGTGCCATCTTGGTTTTTGCACATGTGCAGAGCAATTTTTATTGTAGAGATTGCCGGAACCCACCCCTGCAGTGACCCCCTTTTGCAACCTTCCGACAAGCCAAGTGAAGGGGGAAGCCAGATTCACTTAACAGCTGGGTCACTAACGTCTCAACTGCAGCGATTCACTTAGCAAGTGGGGCAAGAAAGGTCGTAAAATGGGGCAGAATCCACTTAACAAATGTCTCGGTTAACAACAGAAATGTTGGGCTCAATTATGGTTGTACGTCGAGGACTACCTGTGCAAGGGGATCTGTCCATCTTCAGTGTGGTGCTGAATTAAAAGATGTCATTGTCACTCCCTTTTTCGTGAGATAACACAGCAGTTGCTTTAACGGCCTCTTTTCTCCGCAGCCCTCCACAGCCATCCCGGCGATATTTCCCACCACCCATGCCTCTCTCAAAGCCAGGTAAGAGTTGTTTTTCTTGGGAACGAGAAATTGTCCCCTCTGAGTAACAAAGTTTTCAGCACACAAAAATGTTTAGAAGATCCCAGGGAGTCACACAATGTTGGGTGAAATTGGCTGGCATCAAATTACATAGAATAAGAGAATAAGAATAATTCAGATAGATAGATGATAGATGGGTGGATGGATGGATGGATGGATGATAGGTATATAGATAGATAATAGATGAGAGAGAATAGATTAGATAGAGGCAAATAGATTAGAGGTAGGTAGGTAGGTAGGTAGGTAGGGAATAGATTAGAGAGAGAAAGTAATTAGACATGGATGGGTGGATGGATGGAGAATAGATTAGAGGTAGGTAGGTAGGTAGGTAGGTAGGTAGGTAGGTAGGTAGGTAGATAATTGATGAGAGAGAATATAGATTAGATAGATATAGATAGATTAGAGAGGCAGACAGAATAGATTAGAGAGAGAAAGAGAAAGAGAGAAAATAGATTAGACATAGATGGATGGATGGAGTATAGATTAGAGAGAGAATAGATTAGAGAGAGAATAGATTAGAGAGGGATAGATAGACAGATGGACAGACCGGTAGAATTAATTAATTAATTCTTTATTGTCCAAGTGTGATTGGACACAATAAGGAATTTGTCATGGTGCATATGCTCTCTGCATAAGGAGAATAAAATACATTCATCAAGAGTCATAAGAGACA